CACGGGTAGAGGTGGTGGCATATGGTGACTGCAGTCCATGCCCATGGTTTCTGAGAGCAAAAAACAAGGTGTGAACTCAGCAGAAAATCCAGCTGATGGGAAAAGATATTTCAAAAAAAGGGTAGGCCATCAGCCCTGGTAGGGAGTCTGCGATGTAGTCTCAGCGAGGCAAGGTCACCTAAGGCATCACACTGCACCTCCCACTCCCTCTTCCTAGACCTTGACAGCTCAGCCCTAAGCTTAAGCCCAGCCAAGCCCGTTTTGAAGCATCATGTAGTTTACACAACTTGGCTAGATCTCACAAGTATTTTTTTAAGTTCTCTTTTTTAGCACCAGTAGAGAGTTAAAAATCCAGGTGAGATCTTTTGTTGTCATTGTTTGGTTTGTGGTTTTTTTTTTTATTGTTTTTGTTTTTTTTGTTTTGTTTTTTTTTTTTTGGTTTTTTTTTTGTGAATTGTTGGCATGTTTCAAACAACAAGACTCATGGTTTATGGGGTGATAAGTAGGGGGGAGTTTGCTAAATTCTTTTATTTTTTGTTTAAATTCTCACTTCAATTTTAATTCTTGAAGAACAATTTTGACAACATATATCGCACTCATTATAAGAAGCAAAGGGTTATATCAAAAAATTATTAGTATAGAATCACAGGAAACCTGGTTTGGAACCAGAAAAAAATACAAAACAGATATAGATACATAGACACAGGACAATTTTTTTATAATTATTTGGAAAATGTTATTTTCCCCTAATTCTCCTTTCTTTTTTTCTTTATGCGCATATGATGTTTTAACTTTTACCAAAAATGAAAATAAAGACTAATATATTACAAAATGAGTAACAATGTTCGTGATAAGTGTTTGCGCGTAGAATTTTTTTCTTTGTTTACTTCTTTTGGGTTTGTTTTTTTTTTTCATTCTACACAAGGTTCAGTTCAGTTTCAATGATTTTTTGTTTTGTTGGTTTACTGTACAGCATATATCAGCAACAGTCCACAATAAATCCTGGAAGATCCAGTATCCCCTTCAGGTTTGATTAATATCCCCTCAATACTCATTTTTTTTTTAATTTTTCTTTTTTTTTTTGTCTCCTTTATTAATATTATTTATTTCTTTTTTCCTCCTCTCAAAAAAAAAAAAAATATGGCCCAATGAAAAAAAAAAAAAAAAAAGAAAAAGCAAAACACCACAACCTCCACGGACGAGAGGTCCGTTCTTCTCCCCTACACGGCCACATCTCTGCTCTCACTTGGCCCTTTCTTTTGTTCAGTGTCCACCTCCCGGGCCCCCCCCCGCACCCCGACTGCCCCTCGGTGCGAGCGCTCCCGTCTCCGCCGCTCCGCCGCCTCTCTGCCGGGGATGCGGAATGGGCTCTAGGAGCACTGGATGGACATGTAAGGCCAGTTGAAGCTGCTCCCAGACAGTAGCATATCCCTGATGAGGGTTTCGATGGGGGTTTTACCTACCAAGCGGACGAAGAAGAGCTGCTCGATGACGGAGGAGGAGACGGTGCGCAGGGAGGGCAGCCGCAGCAGCAGCTTCCCGAAGCGGCTGGGCTGGTTGGGGTACTGGCTCCTCACGTACTCCTCTAGCGCGCACTGTGACTTCTCCTGAAGGCTCTCGATATGCGCAGCATCCGACAGGCCACAGGCGTCTGCCCACCGCACCGCGCCCGCGGAGGCAGCCGCAGAACGGCGGCAGGCGGGGGGAAAGTGGAGGGAGGAGGTGGAGGAGGAGGAGGAGGAGGAAGCGGGGGGGAGATGGTTAGTGACTGGGAAGCACACAGGGAAACGCCGCTGGGATGGGGGGCACGGCAAAGGCGCACCCCCCATCCCATCCCACCCCACACTAGCCCACCCCCTCTCATCCCCCCCCAACCCATCCCGTGCACCGCTGCTGAATAAATAACGCGACCTCTCTGTGCCTCTTCACCGCCGTGGGTATTTTAACCCAGGATACAGTGGGGTGCTCACACCCTGCTCGTCCCAGCCGCACACAAACAGCCCCCCATGCTTCCTTTCCATATCCCCCTCTATGGACACTCTGTGCTGGTGAGCGTGATTCCCACTCCAGGGAGCCCACCACCAGGATGCTGGAAACTTGGACCAGCCCCTGTTAAATAACACTGAGTGGAGCAAAAATAGGGGTATTGGGAAAAATAATAATAATAATAATAATATTAATAATAGTATGATTATAAGCAGAGGTGGGCACAAGCAGAGAGAGACAGAGGGAGTTTGTTGACATGGTTGCATATCACAGGGAGGCAGCGGCTGGGACCTGCAGTGACTGGCAGGGAGCCGGCCGGGGGATGCCGGGGTGCAAGGGGGACCTCTGTCCCTGCCATGCTGCCAGGGATCACAAACTGGCCAAATGTTTGTGGGTTGTGTGATAAATCTGGTGGAAATCCAGATAAATCTGGTGGCTGGGTTAGTCCTAGCTTGCACTCAGCAGGCATCTGCAGCCCTCAGACACATAGCTTGGGAGAGCTGCGGCAGATAAGCCGTGCCTAAAAGTAGCCAGTGAGACTCTCTCCCTACAGGAACACACGTCTTGCACCTTGCAGAACTATACGACCCAGGCAAAGGTGTACCAATCCAAGAGCAGAAACCCTTCACATCCGTGCATTTGTATCTATACATATTATTCTATGTGTACAGATACAAGCAGGGAGGTATAGATGCATCTGTGCATTTGCACACACATAGAGACACATACAAGCATATACCCTATCTCTGTGAACACATAACCCAAACCAAGGGAAAATTGTTCACTGGTTGCTTGTTAAGGGACTTGCTCAGGAAACCACAGTCAAGGAAAAGTGGTGGGTATGCCCAGATGGTGGAAACGATCCACATTGTTTATAAGATTAATATTAAATATTTAAAAAAAAATGAAAAAGCAAATAAACCCTGAACCATCAAGATCAGAGCAAGGCAGTCAGCTAGCAGTGCTGTTTAAAACAGATCAAAGCCAGACTTGGCTAATATATAGATCCATATATGAATTAGTGCATGTTAATGGCCCCCAAAAGGACATTACAAAAATGTGAATGTAGACTTATGACCCTGGAAAGACACAACAAATTAATAAATTATTCAAAGCTAAAAAAAAAAAAAAATCTGTCACAAAGGCATTTTTGGAGTTTGTCTTTCCCTATCAAGAACTGACTTTACAAAGATTTCTGAACACCTTCATCTACAATACTATGGCCTCGAGCAAAAATACAAGTAAAACAAGCCATAATTCAGGAGCTTCTGAGGAGGAGAACCTTTGACCTGAGCTGCGGACTTGGCATCCCTCAGACGCACAATTATCTGGGCCAGGCTGCTCCACTAATCCATACTGTACCTTTAATGCAATGATATTTTGCAACATCTAAAGCACCAGGTTGCAACATATATATCTATCAAAAGCTGGGGCCTGTTCTTGTTTGCAATACATATCAAAAACACAGGCCTGTTCATATGTTGATTGCCACAAATCACATTCCATATTTACATATATCTTGCTATTTTACATGCATTATCTGCCCATTATGCATTAGGATCCTATTCAACTTCCAAACAATGCAATATGAAAGGGTCTTACTGACACCCTGGCAGGGCTTTTTTCTTTATGCCCCATATGTCATACCCTTAAGGTTAGTAAAATATTTATCAGACATTTACGATAAGTGCACCTATAACTGCAGGTCACTGGACAATACGGATGGGGAACTTGCTCTCTAAAAGGGCAGTAGCCTGGTGTGTGTGTGTTTGAAAAATACGCCTTGGGTTTTACCTTAGACCTCCAAACGTTCAGAATTTTCTTATACCAATAATATCTATTGAGCTTTAATTATTTTAAATGGACTGGCATATGCCTTTATTTGGGTTTCATTCTGTATCCTTAAAGGTGGCGGTGAGAAGGTTTAACTCTCCCCTCAGAACGAGATTAAAAATAATAATCATTAAGGGATCCACAGCTCGATTCGATTATGCAGCCCAGAGAGGTGTAATCCGTGGGAGAAATAACGCAATCCATGTTTACTGAAAGTGAATTATTATTGCATCCCAGAAAGTGGGCTAATGTGAAAATCCTGTGTGTGCCTCGGTTTTTTATGTGGCAGTGTGTCAATAAGGGAAAGCTCTATATTTCTTCTTGCAGTCTATGGAAAAGAAATTATGTAAATAAATAACCATTACTGTTCAACACACTCCAGCCTTCCCCTTCGTAGTGGCGGGTATGTATTTCATGTTACACGTTCAGAAGAGTTTAGTGTTCAGAAAATATAGATGTAATCAGCTGCCACCTAACTAGAAATCAAAGTTCTTATTGCGCTGCAAATAGATTTATTGAATTTATGTTATCTGTCTCTATCTCTTCCTGGAAACGTTTATTTATGATGAGGAAAAGGTAGATACAGGAATTAATAACACTAAAGTTTGGCAGCAGGGCCGTGGAGGGATGGGGGTGAGGGATAGAGGGGTGGAGGAGGAGGAGAGTGGAAGGAAGGGGAAAGTAGGTGAGAAAGGAGCAGGTTTTGGGTTACGACCCAGTCTTTGGATGGTGTCCAGAATTTTACGGATTAAATACATGCTCTCTGGAGCCCGAATGTAAAAACTACAACAGGAGAAACCCATGCCAGCTTTAAACACTTAGTCCTTAGCAAAGGAATTTGGACACAATGCCTAAAAATGTCTTTTCCATCAGTCAAAGTTAGTGAAAAAGTTGGATGACTTTGAGAAAGGCTTCCTATGAATTCCCCTCTGGATAAGCAATCAAAACAAGTTTAGTGAGAAGTTGAAATGTGCGGATGGGGGTAAGCGGTAGATTACTCCTGACAGCTGTATTTCCATTTTCTGAGATGCCTCGTGTGATCCTGCTCCAAAATAATATTATTGTTCCCTTCCTGAGCCTCATTCACTCTCAGTTCCATTGTGGAAAGGGGATTCTTCCCTCACAAGTGTCATTACATTTTTTTTAATATATGTAAATGAAGGGGTCCTCTAAAACCACTTACCCTGTTTCTAGCCAACATTGCTCGTTTGGGCAGGTTAAGGGGGGAGATTGGAGAGAGCGGAGAGAGAGAAGAGAAAGAGAGGAAAAAGTAAAATATCCCCTCGAACGTGTCCCCATCAGGGGTAGCCTCTTTCTAAGGGCCTTTGGCTGGTAGAAAGGCTGAGACACAGGCCAGCCATCTTCCTAGCTCTGCATAGGAAGAATGTCTCAAGTTGGATCTGGAAAAAAAAAAAAAAAAGGAAAGGTTCTCCTCAACTGTCCCTGCGTATTGATGAGCACCCTGAAATGAATGGGAAGGGAAAGTCTGTGAGTCTGCAGGCAGGCTGTGGAGTTAAATCAGCCTGATAAATGCTGGCAGGTCTCTTTGTCACTCTTGAAAAACATGTTTCCATCAAGAAGACTTATTATGATAAAATACATTAAAATGTCGATCTGGCTATTCAGTAAATCTTCCATTTGTTCTAAGATTTGCAAGTTATCCTTTGCAAAGAAATATTCCCTCCAACACTGCGAGACTGCATTTGCACTGGAAGTAAAAGGGGGCAGTCACAGTACACGTCTCCGACCACCCTGCATACAAATTATATACTCCTGTCTAAATAAATTATCTGATGTTCAAATCGATATTAATACTACATTTGCTACATTACAATATTGTGTAAATTTAGGAGTCATTTTAATACAATGTAAATACTATCTTTCATGCATGAAAGGCAACAAATATTGATGGATTATAAACTGCTCAGTGTTAAACAAGACCTTTGAACGATTTGCCATCTCTGTTCAGGAATGCTTTCAATTTTGCCCTGGCCTAGTTTTAAGTCACATTTATTGGAACTGTTTAGTCATTGCTAATTGAGAAGGTTGGTTTGGAAAAGAGGGGAGAAATGGGAACAAGAGAGGAGATGGGGAGAGTGGGTATATAAAAAAAAAAGAAAAAAAAGGAAAAAAGAAAACAAGAAGAAAAAGTGGCAATTAGCCATATCATGATGACAATTAGAATAATAATTAAAAAATTACACTGCCCAGTCTCTTATTTCACCTTGTTTCCACTTCCTATATTTCCTCCGCATAGTTCTCCTTTGATGTTTATAAATTCTCCCTCGCAGGTTACAATAATAGTATACATATTATATTTTTATAGGCTACGACCAGAGCACTTCAAAGGCGATACTAATGCAACTTTCCCGCTAGTTAATTCGAACCATCTATCACAGGGAAAAATTGTTAACATGCATGTTTCCACCGCCTACACTTCATTTGATTTGAGTTTTTTAGTGTTGTTTTCTTTTTTTTTTTTTTTTTTTTTTTTTTTTTTTGAGGGGCTGTGCGTTAAAAAGCCAGTGTCAGTGGGGATGAGGGGGAGATCAACCCCTGCACCGGAGTGTACCCCTGTCAGGTGCTATGCTACCTCAGCCTGCTGCCTCTTTTCTTTAAAAATAATTCTATTTTCATTTTTTCCTAATTTTTCCACAAGTGGTTTGTTTTCTTTCTTTTTTTTTTTTTTTTTTTTATGTCTCACATCCCCCACCCATCCCCTCACCTGAGGTGAAGAGGACGATGGCTTTCAGGCAGCTGTACTCAGCCGAATCGACGTGCAGCGCCTTCAGCTTCTCCACCTGTTCCTGGAAGATGCGGATGTGGTCCATGAAGGCGACAACGCGGTCGGCCGACATGGGGGAGGCGTGGAGGCCGGCGGCGGCCAGGAGCGGGGCCACATGGAGGGGCATGGAGCACTGGGCAGCGTTGAGGACGAAGAGCTCGCTCCAGGTGAGCCGCAGCAAGGCCACCTGGTCGGTGATCTGCAGGTCGGGGAAGAAGGGGATGTTGCGGGCCCACTCGACGGCGCTGAAGAGCAGACGGGCGGCTAGCTCGCAGATGTTCTCGATGCCCATGATGTTGTTGGGCTGCATGCACTGGCTGCCGTAGCGGGAGGTGGGGTAGGGCTCGGCCCGCAGCAGGAGGGAGATGTATCCCGAGAGATAGCAGTGCCCATTCAGGGGGTCGCCGTTGGTCAGGGCATACTGGCCGGGGTTGGGTTGGGTGGGTGGCATCCTTCCTCGCTGAACCGCTGACAAAAAGAAGGAGAGAAGGAGAGGAAATGTGCATCCAGGAGGCTCTCAGGCATTGCCCCGGCGGCGCAGTCAGCCAGCCGGAGACAATGCCGGGCTTCTTCCCCTCCCCGCCACCGCCTCGCCCCCGGCACACGCACAGGCACGGACAGACAGAGGCATGCGGAGCCGGGCAGCTGCCGCCGACCTGCATTGCGCCCTCCGCCCGGCCTCGGCCCCGGCCCCGGCCTCGGCCTCGGCCCCGGCCCCGGCCCCGGCCCCGGCCCCGACCCCTGCTCAGGCAGCCCCAGCCCAGCGGCAGTCAAGCGCCCCCCCCTTTCTTCCCTCCCTCCCCCCCCCCCCCCCCCCCCCCACCCCCCCCCCCCCCCCCCCCCCTCCCCCCCCCCCCCCCCCCCCCCCCCGCCCACAATGCAGACAGGCTTCACAAAATAAACAGAGATATTAAACGAAAAGAAAAAAAAAAAAAAGCCAAGGCAAACAAGACAAATCCGCACACAAACCCCCGCCCCCCCACCCCCCCTTTCGCAACAAAAGGCAGCCCCCACGTAAAAAAAATAAAATCAAATCCTCCGGGTGGTGAGAAAGTGGAGTCAAAAATCACAGCCAAGTGTAAAAATTATAGCCAAGCTCTGTTGTGGATCCCAGCCGATTGCCCTGGTAGCACTGATATTTACAAGTGAACTGATGTGTCGCCTTTTAAAATAAAATATTAAATAAAATAATTCATAAAACCAAATGTGTCCGTATTCTTCAAAAATACTGCGTCGTTACCCTTCAAGCTGGAACAGGTCGCAACCCTCCAGCTTCCCACCGCTAACTTTATTACATAGAAACAGCTTTCCACAGAGGACCCCCCCCTCCCCCGCCCAGCAAAGTTCTCCCTGCTAAAAGGAAGAGAAAGGTTAAATATTATCACGGGAAATGGGGAAATAAAACAAAAAGGTCCAAACTTACAATAGCCAAACATTCGTGGAAAAAAAAGGGGACGGTGTAATTAATATCTTTGGCGAGCTGTTGCCACTGCAAAAGCCTGCAGTCAGCGTTGCACAGTGAATGCACAAGCTTGCAACTGCAAAAACACTGGATTCATTAACCATCTCCACACAGAGCGTGAGCATGCCTCGAGTCCCGAAAGCTGACCGAAGTTGTGGTGGTTTTTTTTTTTTTTTTTTTTTTTAGTGTGTGCGTGTGTTTTACTTCATCAGTGCCAGCGGTTGCAGTCGCATGCCATGTAAACAAAGGTAACTTCAGGGGAAGCTACGGCTACTCAGGCTTGTTCCCTGCACACACAGACACGCACACGCACACCCGCACACGCTCGCTGGCACACACCCGCACACACAGATCACTCATCTTTCCGGCGTGCCACATTTTTCTCAACTTTCTCTTTTCTTCCCCAACGAGCCCTCTTCGCCTCCCGGGCTGGACCTCTTTGCTGCTGCCCTCCAGCCCTCCTCTCCCTCTTCAATCTGCTTGTAAACTTGGCAGTTATTTTTCGTTTAACTGCGAGCACAAGTCTCACTTTTTTTTTCCTTCCTTTTTTTTTCTTTTTTATTCTCCCCACTCCCCTAGACACCTAACAACAGCCTCTGAAGCTACCAATGGAGCCGTCATATTTATGAGCTCTTTCAGATCTGTTGCAGCTTCATTCCTTTTCTTGTGGCATATAAAATATAATTTAAAAACCAATTAAGGCAGTAGTAATCCCCGCTCCGCAAAATTGACTATTTCGCTGATGTAACTCTAGGACATCTTTAACGACAGTCGCAGGGTAAACTTTAACTATAAACCAAGAAAATACGTTTCGAGGGGAAAGGAGGGCAGGAAATCTCCCTACACGAGAATGAGTCTGAACTCAAGGAAAACCACAGCAACTCTTGGAAAGTAGGAGGAAAAAAAGAGATAGAGCAGTTGGAAATGGTGGGGAGCCCGCTGCCAGATGCAGGCTGCGGATACCTCTAAAATGAGAAGAACCGGTAAATAGGTTACAAATCGAGGTTTGTATGTAGGTTTAAAGGAGAGGGTGGAGTTTGATGAAGAAATAAAATGAGCAGCGAGCTTAAAAAAAAAAAAAGGAAAGAAAGAAAGAAACGACAGAAGTACAGAAACACGGTTCAGTCACAAACTTTGCTTTGAACGCATGGAATGAAAACAAGGCCAGATCTCTCACAGAAGCACACTCCGGGGTACCGGAAAGCACAGGGAAGAGGAGATACAGTAGCACATTTCCTCTTTCTTTTTTTTTTTTTTCCTTCCATCTTCTTCACCCCTTTTCCTCTCTCCCTACTTACACGTCTTTCATCTTTCTTTCGAGAAAAATGAGCCTGAGAAATGGATCTACTGAGAAGTGTTGCGGGTTTAAAAAGAAATGATGGGGTGGAAAAGGGGTGGGGAGGGTTGGGGGGAAGGAAGCTGAATGGAATCACATCTCGTACGGGAGAAAGATGTATTTCCCCCCACCCTCCGGTTTCATGCCAACAATAGACAAAACCACATCCAAAACACACGCACACGCACACATGCATACACGCGCGCGCAGGGAGAAGCGGGGATAGCGGCTAAATGATAAATGTTTATCAAGCGATCGTAATAATAATAATAATAATAATAATAATAATAATAATAATAATAATTTCTCTGCACAATGAACGGGGAAAGGGCGAGTGCGGCAGTGCCGGGGAAGGGGGTGGGGAGTAGCGGGAGGGAGGGCAGGAGGCACAAACCGAAAAGCAAAAGAAAACACCACCAACCACCATCGACAATAACAACAGAACCTGGCGCAAAGCTGCCAGATGGAGTGCAGGCAGAGGGAGAGATTGACGTGTGCATGGAAATATAGAGAGAGACCTAGATCGCCACGAAGAGCTGTAAATATATATACACACACACACATACATATATATGTGTATATATATATATGTATATATATATATTCATATGTGTGTGCGTTTGCACTCCGCGCTTGTGAGCGCGTATATATATATATATATATATATATATATATATATGTATATGCATATAGGTGAGTGTGTGTGCACGTACGGACAGGCAGACACAGACAGACGGAGAGCCCTCACACACGCACGCCTGCACAGCCGCGGGGAGAGGGGAGCGATAGCATAGTAGGGAAGAAATATTCACCTTCCCGCCTCATGCCCACTTTGAGGCACTTCTTGAGGCGGCAGTACTGGCACTGGTTGCGGTGGTGCTGGTCGATGGGACAGTTCCTGTTGGCACGGCATGTGTAAGTTAAGTTCCTGCGGACGCTCCTCTTGAAGAAACTTTTGCAGCCCTCGCAGGTGAACTGGCCGTAGTGCTTGCCGCTGGACTTGTCCCCGCACACCACACACTCGATGTGCTGCTGGCTCTGCCCCGAGCCCTGCTGGCCCGCTCCCTTGTCCCCGGCCGTGCCCGGCGTGGATGGGGGTCCCGGCTGGCTGGGGGTCTGCGGGGTGTGTGGGGCTGCCGAGCCCCCCTGCTGCTGAGGCTGCTGCTCCCGGGCCGGCTGCGCCGCGGCGGGGTTGGGGCCACTCGGAGTGCCCCCGGCAACGTCTTCCTGCGGATCTCGCCAGCTGCTAACTACCATTGCCATATCTCGGGCCCAAAAAAGTGCTGGGGAGCGGCGCGTCTCGCTGCGGGCTGCCGGGGAGAGAGGCGGGGGGCGGGGGGGAGGCGGCCGGCCGGGCGCCGGGGGCGAGCGGAGAGCGAGGGGACCCTGCCTGCCGCCTGCCTCCGCCTCGGCTGCCGCCGCCGCCGCCGCTGCCCTGCTGCCGCCGCCGCTGCTGCCGGCTGGAGCCGCTCCTGCCGTTTTCTTTATTTTATTTATTTTTCGCCGCCGCGAGCCCCCCTCCTCTCGCTCGCGGTCTAGCTATTTTTTTTTCTAGGGAGGGGGAGGGGGCGACGGAGGATTTTCTCCCTCTCTCTTTTCCCCCCCCTTCCCTTTCCTTTTCCACCCTTCCCTTTCCTTCCCTTTCCTTCCCTGCCCTTTCCTGTGCTCCCCCCCACTCTTTAAAATACCCCCGCCTGGCCGCTTCCCCCCTCTGCTCCCGCTCTCCCCGGCTCTCACCGCCTCTCTTCGCCCTCCCCCCCCCCCCCCGCCGCCACTTCAAGTTGCAAAATCAGAAACGGCAAACAAGGCTGTCGGGAGAGGCATTCAGGAGAGTAACACGCCGGACACGCACACGCAGGCAGACACGCGCGCACACGCCCGGCACACGGCTCCCCACTCGCGCACTCGCACACACGCACGGGCACGGGCACAGACACACGCGGTCCGGGCGCTAAGAGCGCGGAGGATGTGCAGGCATAGAGGAAGCCGCGGCGCCGCCGAGGAGGAGGAGGAGGAGAAGGAGGAGGAGGTGGAGGAGGAGGAGGAGGAGGGGAAGGAAGAGAAGGAGGAGGTCGCCGCTCGCCGCTCGCCGCCGCCGGGGCCCGGCCGCCGCCGCTCCCGCGGAGGCTGCTCCCGCCGCCACTGCCGCTGGTGCCGGTGCGGGCTTTCGGGGAGGAGGGAGGTGGAGAGAGGAGCCGTCCGCCGGCGATCAGAGCATGGAGGTGTCCGGGGGCCAGGTCCAGGGCAGGGCGCCGTCAGCCATTCAGGGCGGCGGAGCTGGGGAGCGCGGCAGAGGCTGGCGGGGTGCTGAGGCAGTTTGATCTCCTGTCGCGGTGGCGGCGAAGGAGGAGGAGAAGGAGGAGGTTGCCGGTCGCTGCTCTTTCTCTCCCGAGCTGCTCTCTCTCGCTCTCTGTCTCTCTCGCTCGCTCGCGCTCTCTCTCGCTTTTTTTTTTTTTTAAAAAAGAAAAAAATTCTCAGAAAAAATCGGATGTGACTAAACTCGCAGAGGAGACGAATTCACGGCGAAGTGTAAAAATAGAGAACGGGAATAATAATGACACTTGCAGGAAAAAGAGAGATCCAAAGTAGGTCGGGTAAATAAATCCTCTTCTCTTCCTCTTTCTTGCCCTTTCCTCCTTCTTCTCCAGTGAGAGCGCACGATGCCGGTTGCGAAGAAAAAAAAAGAAAATCGGTGGAAATTGCCCTCAAAAAGATTCTATTTTGTTTGTTTGTTTGTTTGCCTAAAAAAAGTATTTCGGGTAAAAACTCATCAGCCAGAAGAGAAGCCCTCCCCCAAAACAAAAAAAAAATAGGCAAGAATGGTCAAAATAGTAACGGTATTAAGATGTGAATGCGTTCTCTCTTTCTCTCTCCGGACTTTCCCCCCTCCCCCCCAATTCTCCCTCTCTGTTTTTCCCCCTTTTTTCTTTCTTTCCGAGTTTTTTTTCTTTTTTTTTCTTTTTTTTTTTTTTTTTAGTTGTTGTTGGTTTGGTTTTTTTTTTTTTTTTTCAGTTTCACCTCTCTCTTCTTCTCTTCTCCTGCAGAAATGAAGCGAAAGGCACAAGGAGGAAGGGTGGAAAAAAGAAGAAAAGGAAGGAGAAGAGGGAGATGAAGGGGGGGCAAAAAACTAATAGAATATGCAAGAAAGGGGAAGGGGGGAGAGACGGGGAGAGAGGGAGAGAGAGAGGGGGGGAGAGAGAGAGAGAGAGAGAGAGAGAGAGAGAGAAAGAGAGAGACCCAAAAAATGAATGCGTTTAAACGGGAAGCCTAGCAGAGCAATGTTTCCGAAAGGGGGATCTGCGCGAATGTCTGTATATAGTGAACTTTGACACTACTATTGAAACTGACACGTTTCTATGGAGATCGCTGCCTTATATGGAGCTCGTGTCAAGGAGCCAAGAGAAGGGCTGCTGGCAACTGATAATCAAAGGCGACTGACTGGTCAGAGCCCTGAATTGGGGGGAGAGAAAATGGGAGGCTAAGGTTAGCCAAGCCTCTTTCACTCCATTGGTTACCCCCCCACCTCGGGCTTTCCGACACCCCCTCCTTTTTTTTTTTTTTTTTTAATTCTCCGCTACCTAGTGACTGGGATGGGGAAGGGAGGGAAGGAGAGAGGGGGGGAGGGAGGGCAAGGAGAGGGAACGGGGATTCTTCTGACAAGCACAATTTACATTGAGATCTCCCTGTGCTGCTATTTACTTTGAGATCTGATTAGTATGGGTCGTCTACGGTCCCTCTACCCGCCCCCCCACCCCCAGCACACATATGAACAGAGGAGGATGCGTTGCGATAGGCAGAAAGGGGGAATTAAAAGGAGCTCCCCATGAAAAGTTAGTGTGAGGTTTTTGGTTTTTTTTCACCTCCATGTCGGAAGTCGGGATTTCTCTCCTGCTTTCCCATTGCAAAAGCCAGTCCAGGGGGTTTAATGATGGAGAAGAAAACACTCGCGCTGCACGGAGGAAGCAGCGCGCTTGTGGGCGCACCCTTGCATACACGTGCGTGAGTGTCCACGCACATATTCACCTCCCCATATGTGCTCCCATCTCACCTTGGGCTATTTTTGCCGCCTGTCCCTTTTCCCTCACCCCTCATTCCTCACCTGACACACCCACCCGCAGCCCTGAAGGACTCCGCGCTTCCCCGGGGGGGGGTTCATCCCCTCCCCTTTAATTTTACTTTCGGGGTGTGTGAGCCGTGCCCTGAGCCCCTGATCTCCCAAAATGAGTCACGCCGTGTGGGTACGGGGGATGCGCGGGGGGGATGGTGGGATGTCGCTCCCCTTCCTTTCTCTCCGCTCCCCTCCGCGGCCCGGTGCGGCCTCGGCCCCGGCGGAGCAGGAATCGCTGACGCCGGCTGCCATCTAGTGGGCATCGAGCCGTCGGGCCGAGGGAGCCCTGGGGGGGCCACCGAGGTTGTCTGCGGCCTTTCACCCCCCTTCCCTCTTAAAAAAAAAAAAAATTCTCTCGCTTTTTAAATTTTTAATATAAAACTGCGCTGGAGAGAATAACCCCTTCTTTCTGGTTTCTACCTCTCTCACTAGCCTGCCTTCCTGGCAGCTTCCCTTTGCCAGAGGTCTGAAATCAGGTTGAAAGACTGCATGTGAAAAAGAAGAAACAGACTGTAGAAACTGAACCCCCTAACAAAAAAAGACCTTAAAAAACAACACCCGCAGCCTGCCCTACTGGACACCCTACCCTGCTCCTAGCTCCCATTAAAGTTTATAATCAGATTAGAAGCTGCATGAAAAACCTGCCGGAAGGGAGAAAAGGGATGAAATAGATGACAGAAGTTTTATTGTAATTATTTATTTTTGTAAAGTAATGTTGCTTAATTAAGAGTGAAGAGAAAAAAAAGGTCCCTAACTTTGATGTATCGTGATCATGATATTTTCTTTCTTTCCCTGTCAGCTCTGAAATCTGAGACTGGGAGCCGCCTGGAGAGAAGAATCCTTCATCATTTCTGAGATCAGAATAAACGCTTGATTTTGCCCCGAAATAATGAAGAGATTTTCAATGAGTGCCTTGACCAAGCCGTCTCTGTTGTATATTGCATTGATAAAAAGGATGTTATTGACTATGCAACAGTAGGCTTCTTTCCTCTCTCTCTCTCTTTCCAAATAAACTCTCGGTCCTGTCTTTTGGTCAGTGAAAAGGTGAAACGAATAAGATTAAATAGGACAAAAAAAGCAAGCTTGGTATGTATATCATCTAGATTTTACTTCCCAGACTGTGAAGAGGCGCAGAGTAAAAGAGGCAGAGCAAGGCACGGAGAGAGAGAGGGGGGAGAGAGAGAGAGAGAGAGACAGAGACAGAGACACAGACAGAGGCAGAAAGCCTGAGAGAAGGTGGACGGACCCAGCAGCCGCAGCCTGGCTCCTCCCGGACCGGGCACCCTGCCGACGGCCCCGACTCCCCGGGCCACCCCAGGCAAGTCGCCGCTTCCTTCCTCGTGGTTTCGGGGCGGAGGGAGGGGTGTGGGGCCGCGACACTTGGCGGGGAGACCTTCCCCAACCTTCCCCCACCCCTAGGCTACCCCCCGCCTCACCCACTGGCCTCGTTCAATTTGGGCATCCCGTTATTTGGGAGCAGTGAGAGGTACATAGTGCTCATTTTGTCCGAGATTTTCTCTCCCCCCTCCCCTCCCTTCCCTTCCCCTTTCCCCCTATAGAAACATGTGTGGGTATTTCCACTGCCCCCCTCGCCAGATAATGAACGTGTCTCGCAGAGGTGACCCACGCGGGTAAGGCAGGCACCGACCCCACATCCTAGCTTCAGCAGCAGAGACAGGGCGCCGGGGTGGGGAAGTGCAAGCATTCTATCGGTCTTCTCTTTCACCTGCTCTGTTATTTGATCACCTAATGAAAAGATCGATTGAGGCCTGTTTATCTGGGTAATAGTGTCAACAGATTACAGGGACAACAATCAGATATTTCGCAGCCAGGCTGGGCGCAACTGTAATCCGGAGGGGGGCCCAAAACACGCTCAAACTGCGTTGGTCTGGGCAGCTGGAGTTGTGCAGCGGGGAGGAATTTTCTCCCGTCGCCTGACTGGAAACGCTTGGTGGTTTTCATTCGTTCCGTGTGGAGGAAAAGCAATTTTTTAAAATGGGTTTTAGAAAAAGCAGATGGGTAAAGGTCCGGTGAAGTTTGTGTGAGTCCTGAGGAAAACCCATCTGCGACGTCCTGTGGTTGTGCAGTAGCCTGTTGGGGAGGGGAGCAGGGACGCTGGGCATCCATCAGTAAAAGTACTAGCCTCATGCCTCAGCTGACTAGGTTAAAGCACAGTTCAGTCGACGAGAGGCATTTCCTCTCCCCGACAAATTACTGGGACACTTAGAAATGGCCACAACTCACATTTAATTGGGAAATGAGCTTTGATTCCTTTTTAACTTCTGCAGATCTGGAATGCGTAAGGGGGACGGCGCTGGGGACTTGGGGACTTAATTTTTCCCTGTAGCACCAGACACTACTTTCCCCAGGTCAGGGTCCGCGCTAGGATCTGAAGGTGGTAGAGTTTTGAGAGGATTCAGGAGCTGGTTTTGGTGGTTGTTGTTGGCGTTTTTTCCTTGTTGGTTTTTTTTTTTTTTTTTTTCCCCCTATTTTTTTTTCTTTTTTTTCCCCCTTTCTGTGTCTCTCTTCTCCACCCCCACCTCTCTCGTGTAATCCAACCCGGGACAGAGCTGATTCCCCTCTTTTCTGCAGTCCTCTTGTCCCCTCCGGAAAGCAAAAGTTCCTCTGGAGATTAGTCGTGACAATTTTCACACGCTGTTTCTGGTGGGAAGGAAGGCGGGGTGGGGGGGGATGGGGTGGGTCGGGTGTGTGTTAGTGTATAATATAAACCCCAATTGATGGTATTATTATTATTTTGTGAGAGGTCGGGCTGCATGTAATTTGAGCTGAGATACGTAGTCTGTGTTTTCCTAAACAAACATTAGGTGCCTGTTTCATCTGTCAAGCTTCACAAGGCACCATATATACTAAAAAATGTACTCACACACATACGGATGTACTTATATACATGTGTATATATATGTATATATTTATGCACACACATAGGAAATGGGGTAGATGGAGGACAGTAAGTGCAGACTTACACAGGGTGCAGTGAACAGCTCTGACGTGTAAAAAATTGTCCTTGTTGTTCCCAATTCTTAGCCTTTTTAGTCATTCCCAGTTCTGACCTGTAGATATCTTCAAGTCAGAATGCTGGAAAACCAGAGGGTCACGCTGGGGCTCCCTGCAGTCTCCGCGTATCCCATGGTTGAAGCCGTCAGGGCGGCCCTTCTCCCAGGCCGGGTCTTTTGTAAAGGGGATGTGAACAGTCACAATGAGACCACCCCAGCCTTAATCACGTGTCCCAGCTCTGCTGCCCCCCAGGGTCTCACAGCTGGGTTGGGCACAGCAGTGCTGTGCCAGGCCTCCATAAGCTGTGGTGCCCAGCCAGGCCTCATTTCCCATCAGTGATGCTAGGGCCTTTCCTCCCAGGCCTTTTTTTCCTTTCGCCTTTTTTTTCCCCTTTCTTTTTTCCTCACTTTTACCACCTCCCCCCCGCCAGACCTGAAGGATAAACCAAGTTTCTGGAGCAGTGCAACACACGATGTGTGTGTGGAAAATGGTGCTTTTCAAGGGGGGAGGGTCACCCTCTACCCTGAACAGGTAGTCTGGGGTGAGTGGCATCATTCTGAGCAGACAAGAAGAAGTCGGACTGGCTCCTTCTGGGGGTGTTGTGCTGCTCACTCGCTGCCTCCTGTAGCACCTACCAGTAGGTCCTGCGGGACATGCACACTGGGCCGCTTTGTGCCAACCTGCTGCTTTTCAAAGGAAACCCAATGCCAGGGTAGGTCCACCCTGCCCCTGGCTTCCTGGGTGGGTATCTCTCCCTCCCCTCCAGGTATCCCTGTCACTGTCACCCAAACCCATCAGCCAGGCCATTTCAGTACATCCCAAGGAAGGCAGCTGGCCATAGGAAAGAGGCCCTCCATCTTTCCCTGCTCAGCTCTCCAACCCGATCCCGCACATACTTGAGCCACCCCATCGTGCATAACCTGCTTTATTTATCTATTTAAAAAACCCCCAAAACCTCTCTTTGAAGCATACTCCTTCCCCCTGCCTCCACTGCGAAACATCATCCCGGGGTCACAGCCGACATCCCCGCGCTTTCCGAAGCAGCTGCACATCGCAGCGGGTCTCACGACCCACGACCCACGAGAAGGGTATCGTGTGTCTCACCCCACCGCTGTGCGTCTGCTGCTCCTCGCCCTCCGCGTGTGCTTAACCCAGAGGTGCGACTCCCCTTCCCCTCCTGCTTCCCTGGAATTATTTTAGATGGGATTTGCAAAAAAGCGGTGTGACAGCGGCCCCCCCCAGCTCCCCCTTCCCCGCCTTCGAGAAGGCAATCTGCCATCCCCGCACCCTTCCCGGCAGCGGGGCCGCGCCGATCCGTGTTTGTCATTTGTTAGCACTCAAAAGTACCATGCTCCGGTGCCAACCAGAAAGCAGGAGGTCGCCATCCCTCCAAACAGAAACGCCTGAGCACCCGACAGTCTGCCTTCTTTTCTAATACGAAAAAAAAAAAGAAAATGAATAAAGGAAAAAAAATTAGATCTGTGCCTGGAAATAAAAACCAAACCAAACCAAAAACAAAACTAAAAAACCCCCAAACCTAACCAACAAACCACACAACAAAATAACCATGTCTGCTTGGGGAGGGGAAAGAAAGCACCCAAAGCAAAGGCCACTTGTCTAAAAGCACAAAGGAACATAGCAATTCCCAAGTAGAGCTCCAGGAACAGAAATTAATGACCTTTTGATGCAAATTAAACCTTCCTGTATAAGGCAAATCTGGGAATAATTTTCAACACACTGGTGAATCCAGGATCAAATATTTACATTCGACACAAAAAAAAAAAAAAAAAAAAAAAAAAAAAAAAAAAAAAAAAAATCTGCGGTGGTTTGAGCACCGAAGCCAAGTGAAAGAAAATTGTGCAAAACGCACTAACACGAAGCTTTGCATTGAAACAACTCTGACTGTATTTTAAACTTTCGGCTTCTGTTAGGAATGAATTTGATGGGTTTTATGATTCCGAATTCGACTGGAGATTTTGATGAAGAGCTGACGTTTGGAAACGAGTTTGTAAGTTGTGAGATTGTCCTGACAACACTGTCAATGACAGTATATAAAAATTTCCTTAATACTTACCTGTCAGAGATCACATTTATTTTACTGCGGGGATTAGTCCGTCAGGAGTAGATTTGAGCTGGACTTTTCATAGACCAGAGACCGGCTCCAAGATGTTTAAGTATTTAACGTCACTTTCTCCTCTGCAGCCGAGATAAAAAGGTACAAAAGTATGTTTGCTGGGGAAAACGCAGCAGCTCTACAACTGTATTTATTCATCAGAAGTTGATCTGAGTAGTAAACCTCAGCATTTCCATTGAAACTGTCAGGAGCAAGATATGTTTATTATAGCGTAATTCTGTCTGCGTGGGGAGGACGGGGGTGCGCTTTAGATAAAGTTTAAACGCAACAGAATAAACACAGTAAATCGCTCCAGCCCAACACAAAAGCTGTAAATGACTGCTATCTATTTTACCACACCAAGGATTTTTTAAAATAATTATTCACACGTTTCTAGGGCTGAAGCCCAGGCATATCCAACAGTGTCGTTAGAAGGTATACAAAATTGCCTGATCCTATCAAATGGGTCTAGAGCTATATGTTTTATTGTCAGCTCCTTCCACTGAATCTTCTGAAGCTGAAAGGGAAAAGGAAAGGGCTTTTGTCCGAGTTGATCCTTGGCTATTCTGGGGCTCAGGTTGGTGTGAAAGGGACGAGGAGGTCGCTTGAAATCTCCTTTTATCTACTCCTATTTTGTCTCTGGATCAGCAACTTTGAATAGACATTACCAAATCGCTCGTAACGGAAGAAAAAAAAAAAGGCAAAAAACAACCATGTGTGTGTGCTCTGGCAGCTATGAAAATGCTTTTGCGCGGGGCTGCCTGGCCACAGAGGTGCGTACCCTTGGATGCGCGCAACAAGGACCCGCGTGGGTGACCCCCTGCAACCCGAGCCCTGAGTGACTGCGGAGACACAGGCGTGTCCCGCCCTTCCCATTCTGCCGCGCCAAAATACTCCCTGCATGGGGCCGGGTGGTCTGGGGTGGGGAACAACCAGCAGCCCTGAGACTCCTTCTCAGTGCCCGGGCGGTGGGGACCTTTCTCGAGAGTTGATGCTTGGAGTCGTAGCGCGGAGAGTTGGCCCGACATAATTTTCCCTCTCACTCTTAGACCTCTAGATTTTGGTAATTTGCACTTATTGGGGGTGCCTGGACTGGGAGACAGTCCCGGCCCCCAGAAAGATTAGATTTTGGAGGGAACTGCCGTTCTTCGGTGGGCAACCGACTCCACTTTGCCTGCTGCCTGAGCCTGGTCGGTGCGCAGGCACCGACGGAGGTGTCCGCGGTTTTCTGGGAATCATCTTGTCAAAGCTATTATTTTCTTCTTGTTGTTGTTTGTTTGTTTGTTTGTTTGTTTGTTTTTTAACAAGAAGTGGACAAAATTGAGGCCCCTGGTAAACAGAAAAAACTTTGTTCTAGAGGCTCAATTCAGGGCACTATCTCTTCCTTCCTAACAGCTCAGAAATCGGCGTTTCTTTCTCAGTCTGGGATGCTTTTGCTGTAAATTCCTTCAAGTGACTACTTTGTTGCTAAGGCTACAAGTTCCCATCCCAACACACAAATCTCTTCCACTCTAGGAGCAGCTCCAGTCCTGGGCAGAAGTCTTGACTCAAGAGACTTACTTCCAACTCCTTGGAGTGCCTCCCTGTTAAATACCTGCTTTAATCTGGAGGTTCAAATGATGGACTAAACAGTCCTCCCCCCACCACTGTGTGTCACACCCCCCTCCTTCTCTCCCGAGGTACGTTTTGCTGGGACTTCTGGTAAATAGATGGCGAGAAGAAACTCAGTCCAATAAGGATTAAATTAAGTAGAAGAAATCCAGCCGGTGTATATTTTGAAGCTCCGACGGGGTGTCAAACTGATGTTTAACACATTTTTTCCACTCACTGTGCACAAGTCCTCAGCCTCCATCATCTTGTTTAATTTTTCCACCCTCGAGGAGGCGGCAGTCGTGCGAGGTGGACAGAAAAAGGCTCGCCCGACCCACAGACCTTCCTTTCCCTGCCCTCAAATTCCATGGGGAAGGGCAGGGGGACACCGTGTCCACAGGCAGGGCTGGGAACACATACACACACACAGACACACAGACATACGGGTTTCTCTGGCACAGAAGGACCTGCGAAGTGGGTTGCGGGGTGGTCATCCAGGCTGTCCCTAAATTCAGAGTTCAAGTGGGAGGTGAATTATTTGGTGGTGGTGTGGGATTTTTTTGGTTTTGGGGTTTTTTTTGGTTTTTGTTTTTTTTTTGTTTTTTGTTTTTTTTTTTTTTTTTTTTTAGGAACTTTACCCTTCTCCTTCCTCCCCACCGCTCTCGCTGCTTCCTTGGTTACACTAGTAGGGAAAATATAGTTTTATCTCCCCCAATCAGCAGAGTGGACACATGTTTGTGGCACGGCTGAGCCCTCCAGCACCGCCAAGATGGGAGAGTGACTCTCCTGGTTGCAAAGGCATAAAAAAACCCCTCAACAACCCCTCCCCACCTAAGCCCTCAAACCTCCCCAACAACCCCTAGAGACGCCCTTCTCCTGGAACAGTTAAGCGTGACTTGGTAAACGTTTGTAAATGCAAATAAGAAATGAATAAATAAACCTCAAACCAGGTAGTTTGGGTATAATAGTTTAGCAGGACTAATTGCAGACAATGAAACTGAAATGACTTTTCCAATTAGCTGCTGGTTGGAGTTTAGTTGGAGGAAGTGTCAGCTCTAGAGATGGATAATTGCTTTATTGCTCACAAAACTATCATCTATTTAGAACATATGTGCTAATTATTCTGGATGGGCGTCGGAAAAGAGACCATAAATCTACTAGCCCTTTAAAAAGGTCTAGGGTACTTGTGAGCCACCAAACTCCTTTTCTTGCAGCATTAAGGGCGAGATTCGCGCCTGGATGGTAGTATTTCCAGAAAATTAGAATAAAATAAAAGAAACAGATTCAACAAGATATATGCTAGGATATATCTGAGACCTCAGTGGGGTAAAGGGAACAGAGGGGGGAAGGGTGGTCATCTCCAAACGAGGAAAGCCTCTTTCTGTAGATCAAACTGGTGCAATAAATCACTATCATAAACCCGATTTTCCTCTTTAGCCTTGCACTATTCCCCCCCCCCCCCCCCCCCCCCCCCCAAGATTAGTTTAGAAATCTTTTAATTGGATTACTCTGAAGAATTAATCTCCTTTGGGCTCGCTAAGTTTGTGTACCAAATATTTGGAATTAATTCAGTGCCACAAAATGCACCCGAGACGCCTTTTGTTCGAACCAGCTAAGAAAATGGACAGGTAGGGAAGGTGGCATTTTGCCGTACGCATTCATATTCCCTCGCAACTCTCCATACATATCCATTGCTACGTGTCGCATTGTACGGCATAAAATTGCTGTTGTAAAGGATATAAACAGAATTATTTGCTGGACTGTGCTGTGGGTCAAGACACGAGAGAGGGGAGAGGAATTTCGGGGAAAAAAGACATAAAAAGGAAAAAGCTTTGGCAGCCCATGTAGGAGTCCCAAAGGCGTCACGCACTACGAGAGCATCCCTGGGCCGAAGCGGCTTCCCGGTGCCCCCAGCCTCTGGACGCTCCGCGGGTGCGCACCCGCTCCACGTCGCTCCGCGCCGCTCCTCCCGCCCGGCCCCGCTCCGCTCCGCTTCCGGGGCTGGCCCTGGACTTGCGGCTCTTTCGGGGCCGCCCGAGGGGAACTCTCCATCCTGGGCACCCGCCGAGACCCTTAGTTTCCAGCCCAATTTGAGTGCGAGCAGCATCCTCGCGAGGTGCGGTTGATTGCGGCAGGGGCTGATAGAGGCGTAATCACTTGTCAGGGGGCGGTGGTGACTCTGTAACGCACCGTCTTTCTCCCCGCCTTTTACAAGTGGAGACGTGCCGTCTTCCCTGTTAAAAGAGCAATGAAGCTGGGTTCATTTATATATTTTTACTTGTTTATTTTCCCGAAAGGAAACGAACCTGCGGCTTATTCCCGGTGATTTATATGCGGGTTTTGACACTGCTGGGAGTCCTGGGGGCCGGGAACGGTTCGCCCCGGCTGCGGGGGGAGAGGTGATGAGTGGGGAAGTTGCTCCTGGCAGGAGCAGGAGGCAGGTATCACTTGTGTGAGTGAACATGTGTGCGTGTGAGCTGAGGTACAGGCTGAGCAGGTGAGGGGGCAGCACAGGGGGGGCACGACACTGACTGGAGGATGAGGGTGAGGAGTATGAGGGAGAGGATGATGAGGGTGAAGGCAAGGACGGGTTTTGACCTCTTGAGCACTGATCTAGATCAGAGCAGCCCAGACCCAAATCCCAGCCACTCTTGCGCGCTCTTCTCACCTCGTAACTTGAGTGCTGCACTTCCAAGTCAGCATTAAATTTTCAGTGTCAGCCGCTGGTGAACTGTGAACCGCCGAGTGGGATTATCTGCGTTTAATAAAACATGTGACACAGACGTGCGTGAAGTTACACGGAGGGAAAACTTGCAGAGCTTGCAGAGCAAGGTGCGTGCGTGGCGGTGAATGTGTATACCCACATCCCACCCGACAACCTGACACTGGGGCGTATCACATGAGCCCACACCTCGAAACTCTGTACACAGGCGGGACACCAGCACTCATATGCAGCCGTACACCGTAAATGCACAACACGCGTGATATCTTTGCATGGACGTGCATAAGCAGGTCACTATTTCCAAATGGAGTTTATGTACTCGCTAAACAACCCTGTGGACTGCAGTAAATTAATTACTCCGGTGTACATCTTAATTACTCTGTCATACATCACCCAGGATCCCCGCTGACCTTGTACCGCCCTTGTGTTTCTCCCCACCGCGCACAGGTAAAAGTTTTTCAGCCCCGTGATGTGGCTAAGCACATAAAGACCGAGTCTTTATCCCTATTCGCATGAGGCTAAATGAATCTTAAAGTCCCTTCTGAGACAAACGAGGAATTCTCTCTCTGTCTCCCTGTCGATCTGCGTGTGCTATGGATATATCCTGTGGAAATTGTTTACAGTTTGGAAGACTCTAATCTTGATTTTCCAGCTTTGAGCTCCCTCTGGAAGCGGTAAGAGCAATTACTCCGTACTACTGTACATATTTCATCGCCATGATAGATCGCAGGTGTTGCAGCTGCTATTGTCTGCATCCTTTCAGTAGCCTCGCAGCGAGACCCCTGAGAATGCTCCGGACCCGGGTCGGACGGTGACCCCCAGACGCCGCCATGAACATCCTCACAGGCTGGGGGTCCCCCCACAGTAACTACCCACGGAGGTGGATAGAGGGGCAGTTGGCGTCCTCACCTACTCTTCCTTCCTGCCCCTCTCTGGTCGCCCGCTGACCTCTACTGCCTGTACTAAGCATAGAGATTCCGCTATTCGCCCACGCGTGGAATAGGTAGCTCATGCAAGGACAGGTATCTTTTTCGGTTTAATGTCTGGAGCGCCTAGCCTACGGCAGGAAGAAGAGACCCCTGAAATGAGCGGGGACTGCCCTTCAGCCCGAGGTTGGAAGGGGAGGGAGGGTGAGGTTAGCCACCGGGCTGAAGGACCCGAGTCAAAAACGAGGTGGAGAGGACAGGCAAAACGACCCCGAAACAGGAAAATGCTTAGAAACTCCGAGCAGTGTGCATTTGGCCAGAAAACATCTGGGATGGTGGCTTTTAACTTGGGCTGTGCAGTGATCCTTTGGAGAGTTTGTAAGGGATGCATTTGCAGAGAGCTACAAAGGTGTAGGGTGGAGTCAGGATGCCGGAGAGTCCCCAAATAGCACTAAACTGTGTCACGGATCAGTCATGATGACGTATGACACACCACAAGGGACCATGATGAGCGACTGGCACAAGACATGGATAGTGGACCAAAGTCTCTTTGACAATTTTTAGTTATATGTCTTGGGGGGATAGTTTTACATTCGTGATCCGTTTATTTGGAGCCAATTCCGGTAGAGAGACACATGAAGCAGACAACTGACTCTGTCTAAGTAGGATGAAGACGGGCTTAACTGGCACAAAATGTGGCAGAGGGCAATCTGAAGAGGTCACAGGTTTAAATGCAAAACGCTTGGCAAAAACACACCTTCTATTAGGCTATACTTACTTAAGCAGGACGCACCTGGTTTCTCCTGCCAGCCCAGGAAAGGGACGGTTGATCCAACGTATCTCCGCGCTGCTCCCGCAGTCCTCTGCAGAACCTATTAGGCACCACGCACCACCGTATCCCGCGCTGGGATAACGTCCTGTCCCATTCGCAAGCTGTGGCACACCGCTTGTGTCCTTCTCATCACGCGTGGGCTTTGTTGCGGACTACGAAGAGCCGAGAACCTAGGGCTGGGTCGCGCCGGGTGCTAGCAAGGGAGGATAGAGAAGTCGCGACCCTGCATGTCCTCCGAGCAGGCAGAAAGCAAACCTCTGATAAACCCCTTGACCTGAGAGAAATGCGTCTCCATATGCTCTCACTACGAGGTGGAGAGCCCGAGTTGCTGGAACTGCGACTTTTCTTTTGTTTGCCAACATCTCGAGCTGTCAGAGGGAAGTTTCTTTATTTTCTTTTCCTTCCTCCTCGCCTCTCTCCTCAAACTTACGCCCTTGTCGGTGGTGTCCCGAGCAAGAGGACCCCGGTGACATGTTGAAGGCGATCAGCACCCCGAAACCCGCTTGGGCTGTTTGGGAACCCTTGCCATTCCAGTGGGGATCCCTGACAGGTTTTTCCCCGTGAGGGCAGGTTCGTGAGGCTCCCTCTTCACTCGGACCCGCCAGGGACATTGATAACCTCTAAAAATCTCCAGGGAAGGCATTCCAAGGAGCAGAATGAATGATATTGGCCCCGAAGAGTCACAAGAGGAAAAACACCTTTCAGCCTGACACCGAAAAAAAAGAAAAGAAGAGAAAAATCTGATGGACCAGATGTTAAGAAGTTCACTAAATATGTGAACAGGTGATGCAGGGAATAGCGACATTTTCAACAGAATACATCTAATTAACAATTATTTCATTTGATTCGGAGGATGAAAAAGCCCTTTTAAATCAGTCCAGATTTACTGGCCTAAGCGCAGCCAATTTATGAATATGGAAGCTGTATTCAGTCTGCCTTCTTTCAAGATGTCATCTGAGGGGTAATAGTTAGGTGAAGTAATTTAGTTACACTGTGGCAACTTTTATAGTCCCTTTCTTGAGAATTTAATTCAGTGCCTCTTCATTTTATTAGGAACAGACCGACTCCATCAGCGGTCCTCTCCATTTTTAGCGGCATGTCTTCTTGAAGCAATTAGGCTCCCCAATCAGCATAGTTCTCCCGACCCCAGCATCACCACCAGATCCTTACGTTATCCACCTCTTAAAAAATAAAACATGACTCGCAAGTGTCATGCAAGCGGGCTATCAAAAATATTCCTTTGCCCTTAGGGTGGGAAGAGTAAATAAATAAAGTAAAAAAAGCGTCTCCTCATAGCACCACGGCAGTTTACCCACTTCACGGTTTTCACGCTGTTTTTCGGCGTGTTGCCGAATTCCTGTCTGTCCCCCACCGCTTTCGGAGAGTAGTCTCGGGGGATGGGTGATGCTCCCGGTTCTGTCCCGCTCCCGAGAAGCCGGTGACGTCCAGGCGGGGAGGGACAAACCAGCAAGGGTGCGGAGGCTGGACCCGCTTAGGCACCGCAGACACGTCACGTTTTTGGTGTGTGTGGGTTTTTTTGTTTGTTTGTTTTGCTTTGCTTTGTTTTGTTTTGTTTTATTTTTTGTTAACGGGGGCCAGTGTCCGGCAGCGGCGTCGCTCCCGGCAAGCACCCTCCCTCGAGGGTATACCTCTGGGTACCACCACGTGATTTTTAAGTCCCAGTCGATGGTATTAAATCCCTGTCCCTCGCCTCGCGTGGGTTTCTCTAAAAAGTGATTCACAGAGGGGTGTGAGGACGGAGGGGGAAAGCAGGTCCAATTCTGCCAGCCCCTCTACCACCACAACCAGGAAAAATCGCTGTTGAGGACAGTGACTCCCCCTTCTCCCCACTTCCTCCCCGCCTCAGCCCCACGTCCATTCCGTGGAGCTGAAAAGGGGGGTCAGGATCAATGTGGCTGGTGCCCGATCCTGCAAAGCCTGCGTGGGGCTTCGGAGCCCCTCCCCGTCAGAAGTCAGTATCTCAGCCACTCGCCCATCAAGGGTAAAAAGAACATTTCCACCCCCCACACTACTGGAAGTCCACGGGGGGGAGGGGGGGGGGGGAGGCAGTTCTGGGGAGCTAATGCTCAGCAGATAGAGCCATCCACCCAGAGCTTCACATAGCATGAAGAAAAATCTCTATAAAACTAAATAGGCAATCAACTGAAAACTATCCTCTTTAAATAAACTGATTCCTTAATATTTTCCCAGTGTTGCTGTAAGTTGTTGTCTGTGATGTCCCCCAGGGCTCTTTCCTCTGCTCTCTGATTTGGTGTATAAAAGCAGCTCTGAGTGATGGATTACTGTGTCATTGCAGCCTGTGAAGGATTAATTTGTTTCATTGATTTCTCTTTAGGCAGATTGCCAGAATTCTCTGCTTCCCACCTTTCTGCAGGACTTCCAGCAGTAATAGACAGTAATAGCCTAAGACAAATCAGCCCATTCTTGTAAAAATAGAAACACAAAATCCTGAAGTCCCAGGAAAGCCATAAAGAAGTTTTTTTCCTTGTGCTGTAAAACCACTAATTCTAAAAGTGAGTCCATCTTCTCTTCTTTCCCCACTTCCCTTTTATAAAAAGGTTGCAGTGTCCTGGGAGGAGTTGCTTAGTCTCAAGAGCAATTTCAACCAGCAGCTGGATGTGAACAGTGGGCATTCGATGGTCACAGAGAAATGTTTTGTTCATGCTCAACAGTAGGGATCGGAATTACAGGAGGATTGCATAAAACTCACAGTTCATTCTTTCTCAAAATCGTCAGGCTGATCAATTGTCAATCCATCTGGGCTACTGAGAAGAAATGCAGTTATGTCAGGTCCTGAAGCTGCTGGTCCAGTGTGCGGGGGGGCTGGGGGTGGGAAGGTGAATGGGACTGGACTTTCCCAGATCAATTAATTTGCATGCTTTCAGGATAATCTGATCAGGCCTTGAAGTGCCGGGTTGTAATGGAAAAATGGTACCCTTTTCAGTGCAGGTTGTGGAAGGGTGAGGGGAGAGAATGAGGTCTGCTGCTGTTATTCTGACCACAGCTTTGTTCTTTTCAGACCCGCTTTACCAACAGGTCAGCTGTACTCATCTGTTTGTTTCCACAATGCAGCACTAAATATTGTATTGATGTAGTCTTCACAAGTTAAACTTTAGATATAATTAGTGCTATGGTAAAAATTAATATTGTTATATGCTAATGTCATTCCAGCTTAGGCTTGCATAAAACTGTGCTGTACCATGCAAAAACAGCACTTTCAGATATCATGGAGGGTAGAGAAGTGTTTGTTTCACCTCTGTACCTACCTTGTGATGAGAGTAGCTCAATAGCTACTTTCAAAGGAATAGTAAATTTATTGTACTGGATAGCACAGGTCCACTGCATTGCAAACCTGGGGAATTCTGAATTTATAGCCCCCCCCCCCCCACCCCGGAAGGATGTTAGCCTGCTACTTTCTATTTTAATTTTTCTGTATTTTCAAGTGTAATCCAAATACCATGACTTGGGTCACAGCATGATTTCTTTGATATCCCGCCAGAAAATATGCCTTGTCCTGCCTGATCAATGTTCCTGTGTTTACTTGCATGAGATCCCTCTACAGTGTGTTGAGTCTAACTTTCCTTTCTGTACTTAACATAGTTTTTGAAGGAACTTTAATAGTAGTATAAAAATTTCACTCTAGTGTTCACTCCTGGGAATCCCTAGAAATCCCTACTTTGTCTGGGGAAACCTTACAGCGTGGGTTAGCCTGCAGTAACAAAAGGGTGGCTGCATCCAGGCACAGCAGCCTGGAAAGCACTGGTAACCTGGGGAATGCTGCAAACTTCCCGTCAAAGGCCTTGGTGCTGTAACATGGCCTGAAGATATTAATCTCTGCTCATGGCCATAATGGGTCCACCTGTGCTCAGAAGGTGTCAAAGACTCTTGAAATGTCCCTGTGATCCAGTATCAATCATCCAGTGAAGGACTTCCTGATCAAGGGGAGGTACCAGAGGCATCCCCACCTACCCTGAGCCCAGTAAAAGACTACTCAGACTTCACTAGAGAGATCAAGGGTCTCCTTCTCTCACTCTACAGGACTTCTACCACCGGGGGCTTCTACCACCACTCATCAGAAATGTATTCCCACTACTTAGCAACGTTGCAAAGGAGGGAAGGAGAGGACAAGATGGCTGCATTAGTTAGTAAAATCAGGATTTATGAAGACACTGTCACTGTCCCATTATGAGTCCATGTCTTATCTGTGGAAAAAAAACCTGGATGAACATGTCCAGAGCCTCAAAGAGAAGATTGAAGAGGGCCACCAGAAGCCAAGAGAGGAACTTAAGGAAGGAATCTTCCATATGTCACCAGGACAAACAAGAGTCTCTGCTATCAGGAGCAGGTAACCCCCAGCTAAGGAGAGAGGATACACTCTTCGGGCGTAACACAGACCCTCTGTGCCTGGCGTTCCCACTCCCGGTGGTTTTTCACTGTCAAGTGACTTTGAGAGCAAAGATACAAAATGCAACTGTTCACATTTTTCCTGCTCAGTCAAGCTCCAGGGAGGCTTGGCTCTGAGGGCAGGGCTTGTCTTGCTCGGAAGCAAATGCTCTCATCCCCTCTGCCCCTTTCTCCTTGCCAATCCTTTTCAGGTTACACAGGGGAATCTTTCTGCTCCTTTGCTAGGCACTAAGGAAAGTTATGCTCTTGATAAATAATAATAACAATATTCTGGGCTTAGAAAGTCTGAGTCAGAAGTGGAGACAGATTTCCACCCCTATCTCTCCCATTTGCAATAAAACAGGCAGAATCCATCACAGACCAAATTTAAAAAGCTTAAGTGAAGCTCACATCCCTTCATCCCTTCAGGAAAGAAATAGTCTGTTAGATTAGCAAATATTAACCTCTCACATTGTTCTGGATGTAGCATTAACGTCTACTGAAGGGACAGCTGTATGATCATCACACACACTAACGCTAGGGCTGTCACTCTATCGATCGGGAGAAGTTTGTGTGAAGAAGTGAAGAAGTGCTCTCCACCAGGGAGCAAAACAGAGATGTCTTATGACTATGACTATAGTTGGAAAAAGCCATTTGTACTCTGCTAGGACACACTTTTAAAAATTTGTTTCCCGTTTCTGGCATTCATGGTGCAGATGGGCCAAAATCTGCATGCTTCACCCTGCAGTTCTGCTGCATACAGACCACACACAATTTCCAGCTGTGACCTTGGGATTGGCTCATCTTTGGGCAAAACCCAGACCTATGCCAGGGCTGGATTTGCACATAAGTAGATCATTGCTTGGACTCTACTCACATGGGGATTTGGGTCCCTGTGGAATTCTCCCTGGCTGTACTGTAGCATAGCTGTTCCCATTTAGCTAATTTGGAAGAGACTTCTCTCTAAGAGTTTTCTTCCTCACCCCTAATCTATGAAAAAGAAGAAATTGGGATGAACAGCAAGTTTGTCAAACTTTCCTTTAAAATATGAAAACTTCATGCTATGAAAACACAGATTGATTGTTTCCTAGGATTTGCTGGGTTAGATAAAAACACTGGATTTGACTCTGATCACACTCTGTTAGTCTAACTCTTCTTATAACATATGAATTCTACAGAAGTAAAAGTTTTTTCAGTGCAATTCTTACAAGAGACTTATTTTAAGGGATCATCAAAACACTTTGCTAGGGCAGTCCTGGTCTCATCTATCACATAATGTTCAAACCATTAAGTGAAACAAGACAAAAGTTAGAGCAGTTGCTTTAGAATTAGATCTTTGAGTGAAGGTGGTTTTTGACTGCACTGAGTACAGTAAAATTGTAAGGGTATGGGACTTGCTCTTAGCTGCAGCAGTGCCGAAACCCTGCAGTTCTGGAAGATGTGAATATTGGCTTTGGTCAGCCTGAATCAACAGGTATAGGGAAAACAAAGCCTACACAGAAGAGAAAAAAAGCAGTCTCCTCTGATGGATACAATAGGGATTGATGTCTTGCTAAGACATCTCTATATATTTTGTATAAGAGCACTACTAGACCTTGGGCCCAACTTCTGGATAGTATAAAAGAAAAGTTCCTAACTGAAAAGGTGAACATTTAGGCAGATATCTGACACTGTTTTTATTTTTTTGTGTTCAGCAGTGGAAAGTAGCTTTTCTTTCATTATTGGAGGCCATGCGTTTGTAGCTGTACGTATGGGTAGGCAGGAACTGCTGGATACGTGAAAGGTAGAGGTTAGGTACTAGAGGGCATCAGTCCTGCTACTCTCAGCTTACCTCTAAGTCATTAGCTCAAATGGCCAGATGAAGGGTTAGAAAAAATACCTTTGTACACCAAGGTACCCAAGACCTGACACCATTATTTCTCTGAAAAGATGTTTTCCCAGCAAGTAATTTGATTTTTCCATCAAATGTATTTCTTTTTACTTCACCTAGAAATTTGAGGTTGCTTAATGTATGAAATGGCATTCAAGTGGTTAACACTAATGGACTTCTGAACAGTATTTGGAAAGGAAGTAGTGTCTCTTGCCCACCCACTGACCTCTGCTATTATGGGGCTTTTATCCTGGCAGCAGTAAAATTCACCTCTCTGCCGTATGTGTTGCTATATTGAAGATCAAAGTTCTGCAGTTTGCAGAACCGTGGAAAGAATACCATAATTAAATATATTTGTTTGGTTAGAACTCAGCATTCAATGAATAACAAGATTCTGTTTGTCCACAAGAAGCATGAATTAATACTCCAAATGAATGAGTAGGAATTGCTTGTTTCACATTTTACAGCCATTGCTGTATTGATACTTTTTTTTTTTCCAAGTGAGTGAAAAATATGTGGCTCACCACACTAGTACCCCATTACTAATATCACAGGCAATTTATTAAAAATGGTAGGATTCTACATAGCTACATTCTTTATGTAGCTATTAAAGTTAGCTATACCAGTAATTTCTTTAATTTATATTATGTTAAAGGAAGTTAAAGAAGTGCAGTTCTGGGTCTAAGCAGCTTTTCAGCTTTACTGTATTCCAGCATACCCAGAAGACCATCACTAGGAAACCACATATGTGTGCTAGTGGAGATCATGGCTCTGGAAGGGAAGTATGGTTGTTTCATTCCAAAATTCACAGATTTTTAACATGACAACCATTGCACATGTGCATGAGACATTCTTTTTAGAGAGCTCAACATGGACTTTCACGACCAACTGCTACGGGCCTCCTTCAGATAGAAACAGTGACAGTGACTTTAATTGGAAAAAGTGCATAGGTCTAATCCATAGAGCATATTGCACTAACATTACATGTTAGAACACACCTGGTGTGTTCTATTTTTTATGCATTCTAAATAATTTTTGAATTGACATTAGCAGTTGGAAAGGACACTAAAATTAACTGGGATACTTCTCTATCAAAACTGTGTTGTATTTTCTAAGTTATGTTTCCAGGTTTTCCCCTAACATTTGAATAGTAAAGACAAAAATATCATAGCATTTTATGATGCTTTTTGTCATTTTTCTCAGCTTTGCTAACTGAGTAAAAATTATATCACCAGTTTTGCCACTTTGGTTTTTAATTATTTTTTTGTCCACTGACACGAGGGCCTCCTGCCTGGGCTATGAGCATTTCCACAGATTTGGGTTCAGAATGCCGTGTTTTTACTGAAATAAAATATGTCCCAAGACATGAGTTTTGCTCATGGTTGCACTTAAGTTGTAGTTTAAATTTGATTTGATATTGTACCTTTGAAATGACTACAGCTTTAGAGAAGATGTAAAATGCAGGCAGTGATCCTTTGTGGTCATTATAAAATAGAATGAGAATGTCGACAACAGTAGGAACAACATCCTGGCTATATTCCAGTTTGACTAACTACATCCTACTTTTCTAAATTAAAGTTTATTTGTCAGTTTGATCCAAAGCCTCCAAAAAACCCTATTTTTCCATTACTACTTTCTGGACCCAGACTGGCTGTGTTTCACTGTTAAGTGAAGCCATTTCCATGTCCTGTGTTCTTTTTTTAATGAAGAAATAACCTTTGGGTTTACTGTAAAAGTGTAAAATTAGAGTCTGGATGGCCAACAAATGGCCAGTAAAAATCATTAAAATCCTTCTGTCTAAAATATAACCAAAATATGTAATAAATACAATGTTATCACTTACCACTTCTTTCTCTCTCATATGGACCCCCCACCGTGAAAAAAATAAAAATTACAGTGGTACAAATGTAAATGAGAACAAGAAGCAGTGCTCTCTCCATGGACCTGCTCTGTAGATAGGGGGAGATGCCAAGAATAAATCATCTCACAGTGTGGGTGTGTCAATCACTTGAAAATTGCCTGATTCAGTTGTCAGGATATTGAAAACATATATTTAGGAATGCATGAGATAACAATAAATAGTATAACAAACAATGAATTAAAATTTCAATATACGAGAAACTGCAATTAAGGTACTTTCTGCTTATTAATAGCTGCGTGACTCAGAAGTTTTGTTTTGCAGCAAAAGCCTGAAAAAAAGAATTAACATTAAAAATCCACAATTCTGAGTATGATTAATACATATTAAGCTACAACTTCTGCACAATTTCATACTTACAGTGGTTGTTTCCTTTGCCATCTCTGTCTGTAACTATCTATCTGATTCTGCCAGATTACTGGTAAAAATAGAGAGTTGGAGGTCACACCTTATTAAATAATCATATAATGTAAAGATGCTTCTCAGCATCAGAGAGTAAAGCAGTTGCTCTTTAACAGATTCCCCACTATATGAATTATGTAATTTCCACGGTTATAAAAAACCAGCTCGAGAAATTATACTGTAACAATATGATGTATGCTAGGATTGACTACCCCAAAAATCCTTTCAAGAGGAAAAATGGGGTTTTTCTGCTCAAGCTTCACATCCTAAAGGCTTCTATGGAGGAAAACCTCACATTCAGTTGTTACCTTGGGTGATCACTCAATTTGTGTATTCATTATGTGCATTAAATAGTCAAATATATTCCTTCCAGTATATATGAATAGTTTAATTTTTTTCTGCTGAAAGAGAGATAACTATCAGAAAGAGCAATAAAAGTCACATAATGAAATAAGAATACTAGAAAATCTGAGGATTTTAGTATAGTCCATTATTCATTTGATTCCTGGCAGCCTTTATGATTACAAATCACTTGATTGACTAACTACACATTCTCAAAGTGAATTATGAATCAGGTTCATTTTTCCTGGTTGAGAATTGGTACATGTTGTAACTCTTCCACTTTGTGATATATCAAGTTCTTGTAACAGTAATAAGAGATATAATCAACTCTTTATTTCAGGACAAATAAATTGCCTTTTCAAAAATGAAATGTGGTTGCTAACATTTTAACAGCGTGCAATGTAATTCCTTCCTGCTATTCTCAGAGTACAATCTGCTGTGATGATATATCTTTTGAATATTTGACTTTGCTGAAATTATTTTAAGAGCCTCACACCCTCAGTTCATGCACGCTGACCTCAGTGGAGATTTGGCATTGGGACTAAGAGCAGTAAGTGGTTCTTTTACTTTCTGAAAACAAGCCTCAGACACTGAAACCCTGGGCCACAATTTGCCCTCTTGTACCTGGCTCTGATCTCAGCTTGAAAATGTCTAACAGTTTTAAAGCTGTTTAAGATTACTTTGAAGCAAAACCAGCAAAAACCACCACCACAAAACCAAAAAAAACTCAAAAACCAAAAAAACAAGTAAAAACAAAGAAAAATCTCCTCTAATGTGTGCTTGACCCTCAAGTCCTCTTGCATGAAAAACTCCCGCAGGCTTTTGTGTAAATTATGCAAGCAGAATGACTGGCAGGCTTGGGTGGGGCTTATGTGTAGAACAAGTGCACAATCAGGTCCCAAATCTCCCTAAAATAGGTTTAGTGTGAGGTGCATTTCACCTTCAAATGCCTACAGAGAAACAAAATCAAAGAAAAAAAAAGAAAAAGAGAAAAAAAGACCTGTCTGAGACTGCTCAAAATCTGTGTGAGTGAATGTCCGAGTAGAAAACCACTATAAACAGCATTTGTGCTTCACATCTGCCTGACAGATGTAGCCAAGAGTGCTGTTTTGGCTTTCTGGAGTGTGATAGTCTCTGAATGTTTGTGTCCCAGTCAGCAGAGCCAGCTCCCATGTGGGGTGATGTAGGCTGGGGTACATCACAGCACCAAGCCTGATGCTTAAACAATACTCTCGGGCTCATGGTGTGACTCTCGGGGATGGTCCTGTGTGAGCCTAAGGGCTGGACTTGATGATCCTTTTGGGTCCCTTCTGACTCAGTATGTTCTATGATTCTGTGATGGTATACCATGGGGTTTGAGGGACAGGGTACACCACATCCTCTGGTACATGTGCTGAAACAATGCATCTTCCCATATGGGGTTCTGTGCTGCAGCCACAACACAGGTCCAAGTTTTTCAGGGAGGAGAGGATTCTTCTGCCTGTTAGGGAGGGTATCCTGGTGGTTGGATGCTTATTTTAGCTCCAATGAAGGGACACACTGATGTTTAGTGCGTTCACGTTATTTATAGAACAATTTCAAAGACTTCAATCCCCTCCCTTTCCTCTCTCAAACACAGAAGCACATTTCTAAAGCAGGATCTTGTGGGAGAAAAGATGTATTACCACTTTAGTTTTGGAAGACCTTAATGTGGTCATTCATTTTAGAAACAATGATTATGGACTTCAGATTTCTTCTTTATTCGTCTTTCTATCTAATTTCTAATCTCCTAATAACCTTAATTGAATGCTGAGTGGTTTAGAATATTATTAAATAGCTTTCATAGGATTTTTTAAATTTCTGATTACATCATGAGTACAGATTATTAAATATTCCATTCATTTTAAAATTATGATTAAGCGGATAATACCAAAAAAGATGTTAGTAACAATTTTAACTAAGCTGTGTTAATTGAGTTAGGGGATAAGAAATGAGATTTAAAGGGTGAGAAAAGAGTGAAATCAAAGTCTGCATAGTTTTAAAAACAAGTGGATTAAGAGAATGGTCAGAATGGAGGAGGTGGAGGGTCAAAAACTGAACGAATGGTTCCAATAGAAAATTCACTTAGTTTTAGGCCACATGTCTGTCTTTCATAAAAATGGATTGCAATGACATCTGATATGATGTGGTTAAACATGAAAGGTAAAGAGTGCTTGCTATGGATCAACACGCTATGCGCTGTGCACTGCCAGGCAAAGGTATGCAACATGAATAGACACAGAAAAGTCTGCTCGAAAGCTGCCACATCTGACAGCGTTGTGTCCACTTATGTGCACAAACACAGCAGATCAGCCTCCAGCATGCCTGGGTCACACAGAGTGGGACCGCTGTCTGAAGCAGTAAATGGAGCGGCAGTGAGGCTGCAATGGTTTTGTTGTCTTTGGTTTACCATGTCAAGTGTGGGCCTTTCCACATCGTTCCCTGTCCTGACATTTGTTTGTAATTACTATTTGTCAGCATAGCATGAATTTTTGCTAGGTTATTTCTGCTATTGCTCTGAAATATTGGTTGGGAGTTAATTACAGCAGCTTTTCAGGTGACCATTTTCTTCTTGGTGGCCATCTCTCACATCGTCACCATGCAGAGGACTTTACTTGAGATGTTCCCAGCTCACCACCTCTTGTAGCAGGAGCATAGCTATAACCTGTAAATAGGCAAGATTTTTTTACTTGTATTCCTTAAACAGCAACCAGAGAGTAAATGAGTAAACAGAGACACTCTCATGCTGGAGGAACTTCTGGAGTCATCTGTACTTACAAAAATTACAACACTCATTGCAGTTTTCTAATGGGGATGTGAGAGGAAACCAGCACTTGTGAAGCTGAGACTGGAGAGAAGAACGACAGGAAAGAAAACAAAAAGCAGCGTACAGAACTTAATCTGCCGGGAGGGGATGATGGAGGTTGGGTGACTTTATTTAAAAGATGGACACAGACAGCCTGTTAAGGACAGGTAATATACCTGACAAAAGACTTGGTTACCATGAGCATATCACTTGCACATGAATTCCTTACACTCAGTACACACCTTCTTCTCTGGAACGTTTGCTGGTTTCAGAAGTTTTGTACTGATTCAGGGCATAAAAAGAAATCTAAAACATCATACAACCCAATGAAGCTGGGGAGAGGCTGTCTGCAAAAAAGCAGCTCTTGAATCCCAGAGAGGAAAGCATAAAATGAATTTGAATTTAACCAAGAATAATAAAATACTGTAATGACTGATGGAAGCATTAGTTTTGCAGGCTTAGTTATGTAGGTTGGGATTCAACATGTACCTTTTTCTTCTAACCTTAACAGCTTTAATTATTTTTACAAAACAAAACAAAAATCCACCACCAGAAAACCCCAAGCCAAACCCCAATACATCCTTACACACTATTAATAAAAAAATCAAGTTATCATTGATATTTGAAAACAGAAGTCCTAAAGAACATATTGCATTCACACCAACTACATACAAAGCAGAATGTTAATAACATTAACCTTTACTCTATCAGATATTTTTGAGAAATACCAGTATATTTTTTGCAACGGCTCATATCTGTCATTTAACTGACATGTGAACTTTGCTAAGTTTGCCAAATCACTGAGGCCTGAATACCATTCAGCAATGTTAATTTTGTTTTCCTATTCCAGCTTTTACACAATTATTCTCATGGCAATCATTCTAGCCTTGAGTATAAATAATACTTCAAGTGGTTTGTTGATATCCAAAAAATGATGCATATCTACATTAAGAGATTCTGGAATCTAATGGGAGAACCACGCATATATTAAGCTGCAATGACTATTTCCTTCCTCCCAGATGGGAAGTAGTACTGGGTAGTACCACAGCATACACATTAATTTTATTCCTTCCACAAATTTTAGCACATATTATTTTTGCATATTTTGAGTCTCTGCCTCTTATCCAATATCCAGGAGAGTTAAAGAGAATTTTGCTGCCAAAAAGATCTAAATCTTAACTCTTAGGACCCTGGATAATTCTCAGGTGAGCCGAGGAAGAAGAAGTGCATGGGAGCAGTTCTGCTCTGGAGAAGAGTAAGACAAGAAATGAGACTTTGGTGGGATAATACGTCAAGGATTAACAGAGGCAAAAATAGAGAGAGAGTAACTTTTCTGGCTCTCATATTTCAGTCCTATAGACTGAGCATGTTTACTCTGAAGGTTCTAGCAATAAATAAAAAGCATGTTTAAAATGAGGAGGATTACAACCAAAGAATAATGAAAAACATAAATCCCAATATCTGTTCATCAGTGTTGTTGCCCCATTAAAAATTAGCCTGTAACAGATTTCTTCCTAAGTCTGTGGATTTCCTGCACATTATCTTCCACAATTTTTATTTCATAGTACTTGTTTTTTCAAATTTAAGTCCTCTTCTTCATTTTTCTTTCTTTTTGGTGCAGTGGGACTTTTTATTTCCTCAGGACCCAAGGAAGTGTAAGGAGCACACTGCATTGCAAGCTGAATGTTTATGTCGGAGTGAGTTGTGTGGGAGCATTTTATGCAGTACTTTATAGATACTCTGAAGGTTAAGTATAAAATTGGAATTGTTGATGTTTGCAGAATAGTGGGGCCTCATCTGGAAAGACTGGTGGTCTGAGGT